TTCTATGTAATATGAAGTATTATCAAAGATCATTACTTACTAGGAAATTGTATTTCACTGTCTTCACATCTTGAATATCTGCTCATTCAAATCTCTGATAGTTGACATTGTAGTAGTCTCAGACTAATTTGACATATGAGTCTTATTCCTTCTCTATTTAATCTTGAGAAGTGTAGATATTAACTCAACAGAAGAGATCTAGTAGAGCTGCTACAGTATAGTACTCTGCAAAACATTGTTCTATTTTGCTGTAGTAATATGCCAGTTTATCTCTTACAGCAATAATAGCCTGCACTATAACATCATCTCAGACTGAATTTCTTTTTAAGTGATTTAACTACTTCTCAAGATGAGTAAATAAACTGTTATACACTCACCAGACTGACTACAGCATTGATGTATGAGTGATTGAGACTGTCTTTATTATCTTATAAAACTGAAACAGTAAATCAATTATATATTTCAACTGAGTTCACTCTATATCAGAAAGTTTCAATATCTGAATCTTTTTCTGATCAGAGTGTTGTACTCAATAATCAATCATCTGATATAATTGAAGAGTCTGAACAGTCATCTTATATATTGAACTTCACTGTATTCTAACATTCTGTATCATATTCAGTGATATGACTGATTTGTTTATTTATTGAATATCATGAAATCATTGTTGTTGTTTAGAAGAGGTACAAATCACATTAGCAATGTTTTGAATCTATAATATTTAAATTATTAGTCAATCTATTCAAAATTAACAGTAGCATTATCAAAAAGTGTTATCAAAAAACAATATTAAAAAGTGTTGTTAAAAAACATTATCTTTTGCAAAGTGAATGCAAAAGTTACTTGAGTAATCACTTTTATCTCATTCTCATTTCAAGAATCAGTCATCTCATTATTCTTCATCTCAATGTTAAAATTCTTTATCAGTATTTACATCACAAGTTGAACCACATGAGCAATGCAGAAGATATGACCTTGTTTATCATTTCAGAAATGCAAAGCCAATTTTTGCTTCAAGCTCTTCATCATAGTGTAGTTATTCACAGCATTGTCAGTTGTAATTATAAGAAGACTGAGACTAATATTTCAATAGTCATTTTTAATCACAGTTATTAATATCTCTGTCATATAATTCTCAGTATGACTACTAATTAATGATTCAAATTCAATTAATGTCTCTTAATAAGTTCAGTTCTCATCAATGTAATAACATGTAACTCTCATAAATGCAAGATTGTTTGTACTAGTTCATGCATTCACTGTGAGAGACACTCTTCAATGATTCTTCAACTCTGATTCTAGATATTGTATATTGATTTTATAGTGTGTCTCAAGGTTGAACTGAAGACAGAATCAATGTGGAATATGAAGATTTGAATTAAGTATTTGAAGAAGTGTTCAGAATTCAGAGTTTTCAATTAATTGAAGAGAAAGATTCAGAGATATATATATACAAAGTAATTATTCACAGAAGTTATCAGATGAGAGTTATGAAATCAGAGTACTAGTACAGAGTCATTTTCACATAATTTTTTTCAAATTAGAAAGTTAGCATTATCAAAAATTGTTATCTGATAGAGTAACTTATCAGCTCAGTAGTAATTTTCTGATTATTTTTCTTTTGTTATCTGCATTCTGATGACTTCAGATGTCAGAAAATTTCTTCAGAGCTATGATCAGTTCATGATGAATGTTTCTGAATGAAGTTGCAGTGATTACAGTAAAGAGATGACTCTTCAGTAATCTGTAATACAATCTGTTGATACTTATTTCATAGTTCATCTCAATGTTTGTGTTGAGTTTTTCATAAATTTCATGGCCTGGAATCAGATGTGAAGAATGAAGTGATTATTTATCATAATTGAAAGAGAGCATTCTGTGTTGAATTATAAACAACATAGACTTTGTGATTCATAGTGATTTCTTGAAGAGTTTATGAATCTTCAATAGAAGTAAAAGAAGTGAAAGAAGTGAATTCAGAAGATATGATAATAATTTAAGAAAGATAACAATTTATTTTCAATAACTGATCACTGATGTGTGTAAGAAGAATTAATATAAGAGAAAATAATCTTATTTCTTAACTTAGTTATAATTTTAGTACTAATTCAGATTGAATATCATTGATGTATAAAAGTAAATAAACAATCTTGATTAATCTCTGTCATATTTCTTGAAATATATTAATATTGTGAAAGAGAGTGTTGCTAAATTACATTATCAGATGATATCATTAAAAATATATTAATATTGTGAATATCAATGTTGAAAAAATGTTGATACTTATATATTATAGTGATTTATGAATCATGATAGTTAAATATATATATATATATATATCATTCCTGACTTGATTACAACTTGTACAATAATTTTTGAAAACTTAAAATCAATTTTAATTATTAATAATTAAAAACTTAAACTTATAACTAATTAATATAAAAAGAAAAAAATCTACTTCTTCTCTTTCTCATTCTTCTTATCATTCTTCACAATTCACTTCTCATTCTTCTTCTTCTTCTTCTTCTTCTTCTTCTCCTTCTCCTCATCTGAGGTGATAATCATCTCAAAATCTCTCTTCACTGCCTTCTCAGAGAAGAGTTTCTGCTGCTTCTTCTCAGCCAGATCAATCTGCATCTCAAAATCCCACATTTCCTGATCTGCTGTCTCAGGTTCCACCTCAGTGATAAGCAGATTGACATGCTCAGAGAGCAGGGCTGTCTTCTCAATATTCTGAATCATGAAGTGCATTTGAGACCTGAACAAGGCCTCAATTCCCTTCTCCTCTATCAGCTTCTGCTAATCAATTAGAGAACAGAAGTGTTATCAAAAATCATTATCTCTCAATAAAAAACTTACCAGTTTTGACTTCTTTATCTCTTACTTTAATACCTTCTCAATCTTCTTCTATCACTGCTTATTTACAGTAACACTCTTCTTCTCTCTCTCTCTCTCCATCTTAGTCTCAAATCATTCTCAGAACTTCTTCTGGTCTCACTGCTGCTGCATGAGACTCTTCACTGTCTTCTTTTTCAATCTCTCACAGATAGTGTCATTCACATTATTTCTATACTTAGTTCAGTCTAAATCTATCAGAAGTATTACTTAAAATCATTATCATTCTACTCTCTTACAGAGCCTCTTCAAGGCATTATAACATGTCTTGTGATCTGTCTCTCTGTGCTTGAACATCTTCTTCTTCTCTCTCTTCAATCTGTGACAGTGCTCACGCGCCTTGATGATCCACAGGCTCACAGAATATTTGAAGAGAGATGACATAATTGATTTTGATAAGTGTTGAAGAGAGATGAAGGCAGGCAATGATATAATAGTGATAATAATGATGATGATGATGATAATGATGATAATAATGATAATGATAATAGTGATGATGATGATGATAATGATGATGATGATAATGATGATGATAATGATAATGATGATGATGATGATAATGAAAGAAAGAGTGCATCAGAATATATTATTGACTTACTAAACATAAAGAGACAAAGAAACTATTAACAGCTTTCAGAGATGTACAGAAACAGCTACAGTGTTACATAGCAATATTATCTTCATTCAATGCATGCACTATTGATATTCTTTGTATGCATTTATCATATAATCTATATCAGAGATACATGCAGAAAACAGATCTTTGTTGCTAGAAAGAATGATTGCAGCAATTCTCTGTTTTCATATTATAAAGAAAAGTTATTCTCTTTTCTTTCTTCTCTCTTTTCTCTTCTTCTTCAACTCATCACTAAGTTCAAGCTGGTATGAAAACTATTAAAACACTCATAGAAACCCTCAAATTAAAGAGTATAAACTAATCAAATTTTAAATGCAGATGAATCAAAATAATTCAACAATACTAATTATTCATCCTCTTCTCAATAAAACAACAGTTGTGTCTTCCCTCCCTCCCTCAAATAAAACATGGCTTGTGAAAACTGAGTATCATGCCAGGCTATAATGACCAACACAGCCTCAGCACACAGGGCTGTATATGCACAGTGTGTGCTGAACTGAGAGACTGTGTGAATTGCAAACTGATGACAGCATCTCAGAGAGAGCTGTGTGGTGTGAGAAAGCTGCAACTCTCAGTCATGTGCACAGAGAGTGAATTGCTGCAGTAAGTGCATATGCATTGCATGGAAGTAATGCTTTTTGATAATACTCAGTCTCTGATATCATGAAAATAGAGTCTCTCTGTGAGATCTGTTTTTATCAGAAGTCAGAGAATCTTATATTTCTCAAGATCATCTTCACATGCCTTGTCTGTGAAATTGATGAGAAGAATCATTGATTTCAGCATTCTGTTCTTGATGCTATTCAAGTGACAGCAGAGTTCACCCTGGTCACACTTTTTGAGTGTATGTTTTCTAATTATTCACATTTATACAGATATATACTGATTATTTGTTAGATAATGTTAAGACAATGACTCATTGCAGCTGTGTTATTCTCACTGTGAGAGATACATGATTGATGATGAATATTATAAAGACTCTGAAGAGTAAGTATTTTGAGAGTGCTGCAGCCCTGTGATCTTGATTTTTTTTATTTTTATTTTTTATTTTTTTCTTTTCCTTTTCTTTTTTTTTTTTTTTTAATGTGATTTTTTCTTGTGTTTATTTTGTTTTTTGTTTTTTATTTTTTTTTGTATTTTATGTTTTTTTTATAATTAAAATTATATGAATTATGATCTGTGTTCAGAAAAGTAACAATATTTGATAACACTCTCTGTTAAATTTTCAACAAATGAGCACTATGTTATAATATTATGTAAGTGAGAAGTGATTTCATGATCTCATTTGATGTCATTCTCAATAATGAGATCAGAATGAAAATGTGACTAAGAATTCAAATATATTCTTTATTCAGAACTAGATTTTTATTTGAAAAGTGAATCTGAGATCTTTAATATTTGAAATAACATGATTTGGAATTAATGTGATGAACACAAATCATGATCAGAAGTAATGCTTTTAGACAACATGACAACTGTAAAGTTTGATCCTGGTCTCAGACACGGTCACACGGTCAGTCTAGTTACAGTGGCTTCAAGCAATATTAAAACTACAATAATAATAAATAGCTGATATGCATGCAACTCAACAATATCAATATGAAGAGATTCAATGATTATCATAATAAGAAACTCATGCAATCTCAACATCTACAGAATTAAATATAAAAGTGCTGAAAGAATGCTTAGATACTTCTGCATATTTTAATGCTTTCAATCTCACTCTCTACTCATTATGGAGAATGGAAATGCTCGCGAAACTGAGTGTAGATAAAGATTTCATCAGTTTGTTAATCAATCAAGATTGATATATCAATGAATAATTGAAGAATTGTGAGAAACAGAAGTTTCATTCATGAATAAAAGTATACAAACCAGTGTTGTGAATACCTGATAATATCATGAAATGTCTTGATATTCTATTTCAAGACACTGTCATGCAATAGAAAGCATTAGATTGATTACAGAGTATCTGACAGAGAAACACTTCTCTTATAACATTTATCCCTGACTTCAACATCAAGATTCTAGAAGCAGGTGATCAATCTTAAGAGAATTGAATGAAGATTAGCATGCTCAAGAAGACATTAACTTTTGAACTCTTATAGACTCTTATAAGTGCAGATGAAGACCAGACTTATGAAGACTTCTACACACAGCTTCAGACAATGAATGATTATCTTATCAAGCTCAAGAATATACAGAACAGTGACAGAAGACATTACACTTCAGCAACTTATACACCTGTGCTGAGAAATAACAATGATGCAGATGCCATGAATTGAGTAGACTTAAATATCTATACATAAGCAAGAGTCTCTGTTATCTGAACAGGCTTCTGAGTCTCTGAGATCACTCTCAAAGAAGTCACTGATTGATATCAATGTGAAGTGTGTATTAACTGTAACTGATCAGAATACATTGCTTTCAACTGTCAATTAATCTATATATCTTCATATTCAAGAGAAAGATCAGTGCCTTCTTATTCAAAGAATGAATCAGTGTCTGTCTGCATTAATCATATTATATTAGAGAAAGATTCAGAGAATAACTATGAGAATTTCTCAGTGAAACAGAGAAAAGATTAGCTTCTGTTCAAATTCATAAACAGAAGCTTGAAGAGATTGAATAATAATAATTTGAAGAGAAGATAATAATGAATGTGATTCTTGTATCAACTGTGATTAATAACATGTATAATATGAAGACTATGATAGACAGTGATCTATGTCACTATGTAATGATAAAATCTTCAGTTGTAAGACATTATAATCTTCAGTATATCTCTCTATCAAAACCCTGACTTCTCACAGAATTTGATGATTCAAAAGACATTTGTACCTGTTACATAATGAAGCTGATCATAGATATAGAAGAACATCAATATGAAGATGTCTACATATATGAAGTTGATAATCTTGATTATAATCTTATATTAGAACTTGTCTGACTATCTGAACAAGGCATCTTACTAAATACTTAAAACAGAAGCTTGATATTCTCTAACAATAATAGAGTTCACAAAGATGATATTCATAAGATTATGAATCTGACACAGCTCTCTGTCAACATATATAAAATACTCTGAAAAAGAAGTTATCATCAAAACTACTGACAGAGTCACTGATAGACTGACCGTGTGACCGTGTCTGGGACCAGGACCAGATTTTTTGATAGTCTCATTACCAATTCGACTGATCCCATTACACAGTTTTAACATTAGATAGTAGTCTCATACTGTCTCAGTGAGACTTACTGTCTACTCTTGTCACATTTTCCAAATGAGACCATGATTTCCACTTCTCAATTTAAATTATTTTTATTGCTTTAAATGACTTTAAATCTCATTTGAGCGTTACCAAAAAGCGTTACTTTTTAAAAAATTAAAAATAGTCTAAAAAAAATCTTAAAATGTCTAAAAATAGTAACTTTATGTCAAGAATGGGACTAAATGGGACCAAATGAGACCACTTTCTCATTTTTTTCAAGTCATGGTTCCATTTTAAGATCTGATATATAGTCACTTTGCATGTTTTTTTGATAGGTAGTCCCAGCGGGATTCACGCCAAGAAATGTATGGGATCAGACCAAATGAGACCAAATGTGAAATTCATGGTCCCGGCGGCCAGTCTAGTCACTGACAGTAAGATTATATATCAATCTATTCTGTCAGTCTGACTGATATCAAAAAGACTCTAGAAAAGTTATCTCATATTATAATAACAGATTCTTGTACAAAACTCTCTCAATAATATCATGAATATCTAGATGTCTTCTGATAAGATAATATTATGAATATACTTCTCTTACAAGGTTCTGAAGTGAATCACAGTATCAAGTTAGAGAAAAAGAATGATAAGAACTCTGAACTGTCATGAGACTCTCTTTATAACATGTCTCAAGATGAACTTCTTCTTCTTCAAAAGACACTCAATGATCAGTTGAATAAAGAATTCATACATATTAGCAACTCTTTCACTGTAGCCTCTATTCTCTTTGCAAAGAAATCAGATGAAGAACTCTGATTCTGTGTGAACTACTGAGATCTGAACAGATTGACAAAGAAAGATCAATATCTCTTATCTCTCATCAATAAAATCCTAGCACAGATCAGATGAGCTTAATAATTTATAAAACTAGATATCATTGCTGTGTTTCATAAGATTCATATCACTGAAGAAGATGAATGACTTACAGTATTCTGAACATATTACGATCTCTTTGAATAAATAGTCACACTCTTTGAACGGGCTAATACTCTCAGTACATTTCAGAAGTATATCAACTGAGCACTCTAAGATTTTATTAATAAGTTTGTATCTACTTATCTAGATGATATTCTCATCTTTATCAATAAATTCAGAAAAGAATATTAAGAATATGTGTAAAAGATATTACAATAGCTACAAGAAGCAGAACTACTGATAGATATTAACAAGTATAATTTTGAAGTCAAGAGTATCAAGTATTTGAGTTTTATTATAGAAGCTGGCAAGAGAATTTGAATGAATTCTGAGAAAGTCTTCATTATTCTTGAATGAAAAGCTCTGTATACTGTGAAAGATGTATGAAGCTTCATTGAATTTACTAACTTCTATCAGTGATTTATATGAAACTTCTCAGATATCATGAGATCACTTACAGATCTCACTAAGAAAGACTCAGTATTTCAATGATTAGCAGACACTGAAGCTGTATTTATACAGATAAAGAAGATATTTATTAATACTTCTCTGCTAATAATCTTTGATTCTGATTGTAAGACAGTTATTGAAGCTGATTTCTCTGACTATATAACAGAAGAAGTAATATTGTAATATGATGATGAAGATGTTCTATAATTATATGTCTTCATGTCTAAGAAACTAAGTTCTACTGAATACAATTATGAGATCTATAATAAGAAACTTCTCACAATTATACACTGTTTAGAAGAATGAGACTCTGAACTCTGAAGTGTCTCTGAGTTTGAGATAGTCATAGATTATAAGAATCTTAAATACTTCACAACTATCTGTAAACTTACTGAACAACAGATGTGATGATCTGAGTTCTTAAACTACTTTCATTTTACAATACACTACTGTTCTGACAGTCAGAACTAGACTGGCCGCCGGGACCATGAATTTCACATTTGGTCTCATTTGGTCTGATCTCATACATTTCTTGGCGTGAGTCTCACCAGGACCAAGCCTCAAAAAAATCTGAAAATGGACCATTTCTGAGAGAAATGATGTGAAAAATAACCAGATTTAATTCAAGAACAGTGAAATGAGAGTAATTTTCCAGGATAAACTGTGAAAGATGATCATTCTTTCAAAATCAGAATGAAACTGAAACTGAAGATCAAAATCAGTCTCATTCAGTTCATTCAGTGATTGCTTATATAATCAGAATTTGATAATAATTATTGATAATACTCATGAAACAACTAAATACATTCTTATACAAGTTTATTCTTCACTTTCTCATGAAAACTACACTTCTCTGATATACTGTGATCAGAGGTATTAAACTGTCTGATAATTTCATGTTTTACAATCATGAGTTTCTTGATTGTTTCTTCTTGTAATTGTCTCTAATAATAGTGATAAATATCTCAACTTGAGTTGAACTTTCCCTTCATTCTCACCCCTGTCAATGAAATTGTCAGAATATCACACATCATCAGTGCAACAGTTGAATATATACTCTCAACAATTTTTTATAACTCTAGAATTGATTTAGTGTGTAAATTTGTCAGATCATCTTGAAGATAGCAGTCAAATTCAGTTTTATAAGCATGTAGTTTTGCCTGATTTTCAGTTGTAATCAATGTATATAAGTTCTGTTTCAAAGTTAGTATTATAGTTCTATGTAATATGAAGTGTTATCAAAGATCATTACTTACTAGAGAATTGTATTTCACTGTCTTCACATCTCAAACATCTGCTTATTCAAATCTCTGATAGTTGACATTGTAGTAGTCTCAGACTAATTTGATATATGAGTCTTATTTCTTCTCTGTTCAATCTTGAGAAGTGTAGATATTAACTTAATGAGAGAGATCTAGTAGAGCTGCTACAGCATAGTACTCTGCAAAAGATTGTTTCATTTTGCTGTAGTAATATGCCAGTTTATTCCTTACAGCAACAATAGCCTGTGCTATAGCATTATTCCAGACTGAATTTCTTTTTAAGTGATTCAACTGCTTCTCAAGATGAGTAAATAAACTGTTATACACTCATCAGACTGACTGCAGCATTGATGTACAAGTGATTGAGACTGTCTTTGTTATCTTATAAAACTGAAACAGTAAATCAATCACATATTTCAACTGAGTTCACTTCATATCAGAAAGTTTCAATATCTGAATCTTTTTCTGATCAGAGTGTTACACTCAATGATCAATTGTCTGACATAATTGAAGAGCTTAAACAGTTATCTCATATGTTGAACTTCACTGTGTTCTAATATTCTGTATCATATTTAGTGATGTGACTGATTTGTTTATTTATTGAATATCATGAAATCATTGTTGTTGTTTAGAAGAGATACAAATTGTATTAGCAATGTTTTGAATCTATAATATTTAAATTATTAGTCAATCTATTCAAAATTAACAGTAGTGTTATCAAAAAGCATTATCAAAAAGCAATATTAAAAAGTGTTATTAAAAAACATTATCTTTTGTAAAGTGAATGTAAAAGTTACTTGAGTAATTACTTTCATCTTATTCTTATCTCAAGAATCAGTCATCTCATTATTCTTCATCTCAATGTTAAGATTCTTTATCAGTGTTTGTATTATAAGTTAAACCACATGAGCAATGCAGGGAATATGACCTTGTTTATCATTTCAGAAATGCAAAGTCAATTTTTACTTCAAGCTCTTCATCATAGTGTAGTTATTCACAGCATTATCAGTTGTAATTGTAAGAAGACTGAGACTAATATCTCAATAGTCATTTTTAATCACAGTCATTAATACCTCTGTTATATAATCCTCAGTATGACTACTGATCAATGATTCAAATCTAATTAATATCTCTCAATAAGTTCAGTTCTCATCAATGTAATAACATGTAACTTTCATAAATGCAAGATTGTTTGTACTAGTTCATGCATTCACTGTGAGAGACACTCTTCAATGATTCTTCAACTCTGATTCTAGATATTGTATATTGACTTTGTAGTGTGTCTCAAGATTGAACTGAAGACAGAATCAATGTGAAATATAAAGATTTAAATTAAGCATTTGAAGAAGTGTTCAGAATTCAGGATTTTCAATTGATTGAAGAGGAAGA